CACTAAGGACTTTGAAAAAAAAAGTAATCTTTGGCTGTCACTATAATATGAATTACCTAAACGTTTTGTGAAAGGTTTCCATCATCTGGTTAGGGACAACCTTATGGTTAATCAGACTTGAAGGATATTCAGAGATTGCCGTATCCTAAATGACTGAAAGCACAGAAATCTGCATTGCTGTCAGTTTCTTAAAAAGAAGTAAATTAATAAATTTTTTTTGCTCAAGGATTTACTCTACTCTATAAATCCTAAATGTTAACTTATTTCAGTTGGAAAACTTTTATCCAGAAATGAAAAAAAGACCGTCAGTGGTGAGTGAATTTAACATTTGCTGAATCTTTCATAATTATATATATACATAAAATTGTTTATTTATTTATATTGAAGACTACAGTCTTAGGTTTTTTGTATTGTAACTGAATTAATTATCTGAGGGAACAGAAATACGTGAAAATTTGTTTAGAAAAGATTTTTTTTAAACACAAAACTTATATATATGTATATGTATTCATTTGTATGTTAACTTTATTAACCTCCTTGGTACAGTTAACACATCAAAGCAAAGTTTGATGAAAAAAAGCAGTTTAATTGGTGTAAACAAAATTTCAGCTGCCAAGCTTATTAGACTAACAGTCATCAGATTATTGACATTTTTAATGCTCTATAATTTTACAGCATTTAACTAACAGTTTTTTCTGTTGAATAATATTTGCAAACTAGCACCATGCATTAACCAGTTATTAGAATTTCTATTTTTACTGGTTTATCACTGAAAAATGCTAGATTGGAGTGACTCTGTGTAAAACAGTTTCTCACAAGTTATATGTTTGTGTTTATAACGTAAACACCAAAACGGACTTCATTAACACGTTTTGTGGGAAATGTTGCCTACCAAAAAAGTGTCACATTAGACTGATACTAAACGTTTACTATATGCTCATAACATTATTTACTTAAGTTTTTTTTTTTCAAATAGTCAATTGTTAACTTTAGGAAATAGTTATTGATTCTTCTGGAGGTGATGATGCTTTCCCATATTGGGTAAGTTGTAAGTGTTGTGTTGTGTGG